ACACCCATGGATCACTCTGTGGGGTTGATCCCACTGTGAGCCAGCCCTGCAGGCAGCCTCATCCCGCAGCTCCATAGGAAGTAGGTGGAATTCCTCTCACTGCTGTGCCCCCCCTCCACCACCACCACCACCACCCAGCTGCACTGTGAGCACTGCGTGGCTGCAGCCCCATCCCACACCGCAGTCCCAAAGCTGCAAATAGGGATTCTCAGCCCCGTCTGTTTGGAAATAGCTCCCAGGCACTGTTACCATAGCATCTGTGTGTGTGTGTCTGTGTGTGTGTGTTTGGGGGGGGTGCTGGGAGGAGGCTGTGGGGCCCGGTGGCAGCGCACTGCAAACCCCCCCCATTTCCACCCCCCCACAGGTCCAACCGTGACTGCCAGATCGACCAACACCACCGCAACCAATGCCAGTACTGCCGCCTCAAGAAGTGCTTCCGTGTGGGGATGAGGAAGGAAGGTAACGATGGCACTGCAGGGATGCCAGCCCTGCTCCCCCAGCCCCCAGCAGACCCCTTTCGTTGCCCCTTGTTTCCTCCCCACGGCAGCGGATCAGGGCGCCGTTGGCTTTGTGCATCCCTTCCTGCAGCCCTGTGGGGTTCCTTGTGATGGGGGTGCCCCTAAACCCCCCCCCACCAGAAGGTCTAACCTTCCCTGTAGCTACGAGCAATGGGATTTAGATCTCAGAGCAGTGCCTGGCAGTGGTGTGCAGCAGGGGGAGGATGCTGGAAGTGGGATGGCAATTCCCTCCTCCCCAAGCAGCCGAAATGGCATTATTGCCACTTAGCATGATTTAGAGCTCTCATTTAAGTGGCTCGTGAACAGCCCATAAATTAATTACTAAGGCCTGAGCAAATAGTGGGCACTAATAGAGGGGGGGGGGGGTTGAAAGATGGCCCTCCCTGTGTGCAATTAGGAAGGGGAGTGCCCCGGGGTTAACGACACTTCCAAGATGGAAGGTTTGTTTGTTAATAAATGGGTGCTGCCGTGGGGTGACCTTGGGCAGCTTTGCCAGCAGTGAGGCTGCAGTGCCAGCGCGGTGGGGCACGGCATGGCACGGTGTGGGGTTGGGCGCTGGCACTGTCCCAGACCCACCGCTGCAATTATGGGATGCTGGAGAGCTGTGAGGCGGCTGCTGTCCGTGTGGGGCTGTGGGTGGTGGGGTGAAGGATGGGTCCCTGTGTGCTGTGGGGCTCCGGTGGGGTCCCGTTGGTGGGGTTGGAGGGGGTCCTGTGGGCATGTGGGGTGCTTTGTAGGGACTTGTGGGGTCCTATGCAGGGCACTTTGTAGGGATGCAGGGGGATGCAGGGGGTCCAATGGGATGCAAGGGGGTCCGATGGGATGCAGGGAGCTTTGTGGGGATGTATAGGGTACAGTGGGGATGCAGGATGCAGGAGGTCAGATGGGGATGTATGGGATCCAATGGGGATGCAGGGAGCTTTGTAGGGATGCAGGGATTCCAATGGGGATGCAGAGAGCTTTGTAGGGATGTATGGGGTGCAGTAGGGATGCAGGGGTTCCAATGGGGACACAGGGGATGCAATAGGGATGCAGGGTGTCCAGTGGGGGTCTGTCGTGCATGCAGAGAGCTTTGTACAGATGTATGGGGTGTGGTGAGGATGCAGGGGGCTTTGTAGGGATGCAGGGGGTCCAGTGGGGATGCAGGGGGTCCAATTGGGGTCCGTCGTGCACGCAGGATGCTTTGTAGGGTTGTTCCTGGGGCTGTGGGCACCCGTGGGTGCCAGGTGCCGCACGCACTCATATCCGACCCCCCTCCTTGACTCCCCCACAGCCGTGCAGAGGGGTCGCATCCCCCCCACCCACTCCAGCGCCAGCCCCACAGCCATGCCCAGCGGGGAGTACTTCAACGGGCAGCCGGTATCCGAGCTCATCTCACAGCTGCTGCGGGCTGAGCCCTACCCTGCCGCCCGCTACGGCTCTCAGTACGCGCAGCAGGGCAGCGTGATGGGCATCGACAACATCTGCGAGCTGGCCGCCCGCCTGCTCTTCAGCACGGTGGAGTGGGCACGCAACATCCCCTTCTTCCCCGAGCTGCCCGTCTCTGACCAGGTGGCTTTGCTGCGGCTCAGTTGGAGCGAGCTCTTCGTGCTCAACGCCGCGCAGTCGGCGCTGCCGCTGCACATGGCCCCGCTGCTGGCAGCCGCTGGCTTCCACGCCTCCCCCATGTCGGCCGACCGCGTCGTCTCCTTCATGGACCAGATCCGCATCTTCCAGGATCAGGTGGAGAAGCTCAACCGGCTGCAGGTGGATTCAGCTGAGTACAGCTGCCTCAAAGCCATCGCGCTCTTCACGCCGGGTAGGTCGGCACCGCGTCCACCCCGCACAGCTGACTGCATCCCATGGGGGTTTGGGTACAGTGAGCATCCTGTGTGCCTTACATCCACCCCACACAGCTGGGAGCTCCGCATCCCATGGGGGTTTGGGTGCTGTGAGCATCCTGTGTGCCTTACATGCATCCCACACAGCTGGGAGCTCTGCATCCCATGGGGGTTTGGGTGCTGTGAGCATCCCTTGTGCCTTACATGCACCCCACACAGCTGGGAGCTCCGCATCCCATGGGGGTTTGGGTGCTGTGAGCATCCCTTGTGCCTTACATCCACCCCACACAGCTGGGAGCTCTGCATCCCATGGGGGTTTGGGTGCTGTGAGCATCCCTTGTGCCTTACATCCACCCCACACAGCTGGGAGCTCTGCATCCCATGGGGATTTGGGTGCTGTGAGCATCCTGTGTGCCTTACATCCACCCCACACAGCTGGGAGCTCTGCATCCCATGGGGATTTGGGTACAGTGAGCATCCCATGTGCCTTACATCCACCCCACACAGCTGGGAGCTCTGCATCCCATGGGGGTTTGGGTGCTGTGAGCATCCCTTGTGCCTTACATGCACCCCACACAGCTGGGAGCTCTGTATCCCATGGGGGTTTGGGTGCTGTGAGCATCCCTTGTGCCTTACATGCACCCCACACAGCTGGGAGCTCTGTATCCCATGGGGGTTTGGGTGCTGTGAGCATCCCTTGTGCCTTACATCCACCCCACACAGCTGGGAGCTCTGCATCCCATGGGGGTTTGGGTGCTGTGAGCATTGCAGAAGGGGTGCCTGGTGCCCTGCAGGTGCAGCAGAGCAGATGGAATGATGTGATGGAATACAGACTGGGGGATAGAAGGGGACCCTGGTCCCTACAGACAGTGTGGGGTGCCCCTGCAAAGGGTGGGCATAGGCGGGGGGCTCGGCATCACACCTGGGTGCTGGCGGGGGAAATGGGCAGGGGGGGTCCTCACAGTGATGCGGGGATCCTGCGGGGATGCAGGGATCCAATAGGGGTGAAGGGGTTCTCACAGGCATACGGGGTTCCCGTGGGTATGCGAGGGTCCCATGGGGGTGCAGGGGGTCCCCATGGGGACGCAGGGATTCTCAGGGACGCCGGTCATCCAACAGCGATGCGGGGTGGGATCCCATGGGGATGTGGGTGCACTCACGGGGACGCAGCGGCTCCCTGCCCACAGAATCCCCTCCTAACCCTTCCCCACGTCCCCCCCACAGATGCCTGCGGCCTGTCGGACCCGGCACACGTGGAGGGGCTGCAGGAGAAGGCTCAGGTGGCGCTGACGGAGTACGTGCGCTCTCAGTACCCATCGCAGCCGCAGCGCTTCGGGAGGCTCCTGCTGCGCCTGCCCGCCCTGCGCGCCGTGCCTGCAGCCCTCATCTCACAGCTCTTCTTCATGCGCCTGGTGGGGAAGACGCCCATCGAAACACTAATCAGGGACATGCTGCTGTCTGGGAGCACCTTCAACTGGCCCTACGGGACGGGGCAGTAGGGATGGTGATGCTCCATGGGGACGCTGCGATTGCCGGCCCTCTCCCAAATGCTGCCCTCTGCGGTGCCACCCGGAGGAGTCAGAACTGTGCCAAGAGAAGGGGAACCCTGAGAGCTGCATGGCCACAGCCCCGTGCTCCGGAACCCAAAGGTACCACTGCTCACTGCGGGTGGATGTCGGACTTTTCCTAGACCCCATCTTGCAGCCCCAGCAGCGTTCCTGGCTTTGGGACCCCCACCCGAATTGCAAACGTCGGGGTGATGGAGCACACAGATGAGAGGCTCTGAAAAGCCCCCTTTGTACCCTCCCAGGACAGACCTATCTTTCCAGGACTGAAGCACCAACCCTGGAGCAGAGGAATGCCCACCCCTCTCCCTGGGGGGCACAGGGTGGTGTTGGGGGGGGGGGAAGGGGAAGATGGGACGGGGTCACAGAGCACCATGCACAGGGGGGGGTGTAGTAAGAGGAGCCTTTGGGTGCGCTGCACCCCTGCGGCTCACTCCATCCCCACTGCCTGCTTGGTGCTTGGCTCCCCCCCCCAGATTTGGGGTTGGGGGATGGATGTGAGCATCCTCTCACTACGCTCTGTTCTCACGCTTCGTTTCTAAGCCAGGACCCCGTGAGAGGGATGCAGGTGGTGGTGGGGGGGGGGAACCAAAAATACGGGGAGGGGGAACCATCCTCCACCCCCCCCCCCCCCAGGTCCTTGCAGCGGGGCTCTGCGTCTCAGGGGTACGCACTGTGTGAGCAGTGCAGGGTCGGGGGGGGGGGGGAGAGAGAGGCCATTTAGATTGATTCACTGAAAAAAAAAACCAACCCTATAATCCTTGTTCAATGATACTAAACCAATTAACAGACATCAATAAAGATGTTTCTTACAAGGCTGGGGGTCCTGCTGCTCAGATCGCCCCCTTTGAAAGGGTGAAGCCATTAAGATGGTGTGGGTTTGGGGGGGGGGCTCTGGGAGCTGCTCTCCATCCTAAAGGTTCCTCGTGGGGAATGAATGCCATTACAGGTGGCTGCAAAGGTTTATCTGTGGGGGGGGGATTTAAGGACAGCCCCCCTATTATGAGGAAGTGGAACTGGGCATCCCACCCCAGTGCAGCAGGGGGGGGCAGCACTGCAAGGACAGCAGCCCTGCATGCACCTCACTGCAGCCTGGCTTGAAAATCAATCCATACACTTCATTTATTATTCTTTAGAAAAAAACAAAAAATATTACACAGTTTCAGCCAGTTCCTTACAAAACGCCTCCCCAAAAAAGCTCTGACTCTCTCCGAAGGTTCTGCCCCCCCCTCCCCAGCCCAGCCCCACATCCCCAGCCCCACATCCCAAGGGATGCTCTGCCCGCCCTGGGCTGCGTGCTCAAGGTACCGCTCTGGTACCCAGGGTGCCAGGGGGGCCGTGATGCTGCTGCAGACCCCAGCCTTTCCCAGAGACGTTGGCCTTCCACAACCCCCCCCTTCCCCCCCAACACTGCCATAATTACAACACGAGGGGGGGGGAGCAGCCCCCAGCACTCACCCAGTGCATTCACAGTGGATGGAAGCGGGGCGGTGAGCGCTTTGGGGGGGGGGATGGATGTGTTTGGGTGTGTTTTGTTGTTTGGTTTTTTTTACAAAAAGGTACAAAATGCACAAAAGTCTGTGTGGTGGTGGGGGGGGGTTGGGGTGCCCCCCCCTCCTCCTCCTGGTGCTGGTTACCCCCGCACCTTGTCGTAAGCACCCACCATGCGCTTGATGTGGAAGAGCTTGTTGCGCAGCACCTTGCTCTCCTGCTTCTTGCTCTGGTAGTCTGGGCTCTGTAGGGGGAGAGGGGAGGGGAAAGAGGGGGGGGGGGTCAGCCCCATGCTTTGCTGGAGAGATCAGCCCCGTGCTTTGTTACAGGGCTGTGTGGCCCCCCGGTGTTTGAAACCATTGCACTCACCCGCTTCAGGTCTTTCAGCTGGTTGTATTCCTCTGCCACATCCTACAAAGGGAATGGGTACAGGGGGGAGGGGGTTACAACCAACCCTGAGGGGGGGGGGGGGGTTCTGCAGGGACCAACTCTGCCCAGTGCCCCACAGCAGCCCCATGGTATCTCTAGATGCACACACCAGCCCCAAACCCAAGCAACAGCCCCAAAGCCCCTCAGCATCCCCACAGCTACGGAGCCCTGATGCCCTGCAGCATCCCCAAATGGAACGCAGCAACCTCAAAGCTATCTGCAACAGCCCCAGAGCTGCAGAGCCCCAAATGCCCCACAGCAGCCCCAGCCCCCCATAGCAGCCCCAGGCCCCACAGCAGCCCCAGGCCCCACAGCAGCCCCAGGCCCCACAGCAGCCCCAGGCCCCCACAGCAGCCGCAGGCCCCCACAGCAGCCCCAGGCCCCCACAGCAGCCTACTGCCTTGCAGCAGCCTCAAACCCACGCAGCATCCCCAGTGCCCCGCAGCATCCCAGACCCAAGCAGCAACCCCGAAGCTCTAGAGCCCCATAGGCCTGCAGCATCCCCGCGGCCCTCCCAAGACCCCCCCCTCCCCCCCAGCCCACACCTGGTATTGAGGGCTGTCCTCGGCGATGCTGTCGAGCTGCCGGCTGAGCTGATTGAGGCGGTCGTTGACGCTGTCCATCTCGGCACAGAGCTGCTTGTAGCGCTTCAGGTCGGTGTCAAACTCCTGCTTGTAGCGCTGCCGAGTGCTGTCCGACGTGATGGGGGGGTACAGGCTGCGGGCAGGGGGAGGTGAGCCCTGGGGGGGGGGCTGTGGATCCCATAGGACCCTCCTCGTGGGGGGGTACAGGTTGTGAGCAGGGGCAGGTGAGCCCTGTGGGGAAGGGCACGGGTGGGGGATTCCCATAGGACCCCCTTCATAGAGGCTGTGGAACAGCATAGGGTGATCCCTGGGGGGGACATGGGCACCCCCTGTGTACCTGGGTACCCCCCAGGTAGCCCCTCATAGGGGGTACAGGCTGTAGGGCGGCATGGGGTTGAGCTCTGCTGGGGGAGGGGGGGGGGTCCCACAGGACCCCTCCTCACGGTGGGTACAAACTGTGGGACAACACAGAGCGAACCCCCCAGGGGTGGGCAGGGTTTTCCCCCCTCACTGGGGGCATTGGCTGTGAGCGGCACAGGTTGAGCTCTGTGGGGATGGCTGCAGGTAGGGGGCACCCGCAGGACCCCCTCCTCCCCCCCAAAGCCTCCCCCCCTCACCTGGCCCACTGCTCCTGGTCCCGCTCATCACCAGACTCCACAGCTGTGGTGTAGTCGGTCTCATACTGGGACTCATCCAACTCGGGGTTGCGGCGGCGGCGGCGGCCACGGCGGGCGGAGGGTCTGCTGGGCTGATCCTTCCCCTTCTCCTCCTCCTCCTCCACCTGCACAGGGCTGGCACTGAGGGCCCGATCCGGCTGGTCGCTGCGGGGACACGGGGGGGGACATCAGCACGGCCACATGAGGATGGGCAACCGCCGACCCCAGGACCCCTCACTCACCCCCGGCTGCTGTAGGTGCCTGAGGGGTAGTAGCTGGTGTTGGGGGGGGGCACGTAGCTGTAGGGGGGGGCAGTGACAGGGCTGGTGGGCTTCTCTGAGTAGGCAAGAGTGGCCGTCTCGTCCTGCACGCTGGCCCCATCCGCCACGTTCTTCACCTGCAGAAGGAACAGGAGATCAGCGGGGGACGCAGGGGGAATGGTGGCACCGTCCCCATAGGGATGGAGAAATCCCCATTGCCTGTTTGGGACCCTGCTGGGCGGTGAGGGGTGGGGGACTGCAGACCCACAAGGACCCTCGTGCCACAGTGGGTGACACCGCGCAGAGCACCGTGGGGGTCCTGGCACGCCGCTCAGGAGGACCCTGCAGCCCTCCCTGCAGCCCCAGGTGTCAGCCCCCGGTTTGGGGCTCCTGGGAAGGATGTCCCCTCCCGCTCCCCCCCCCCCCTTCCTTCCTGCCCTTTGTGGCTGTTTGTGCCGGATGCTGACCCAGCCAGGAGCCGGACGGTGGCTTTGGGAACGTCAGCTCCAGCTCCTGCCGGCAGAGCCCCTTCCTCTGCCTCTCCCCCCGGTGGATGAAGACATCATTAAGTGATCTCCCTCAAGCAGGACCTCCATCAGTGCAGGGACAGCCGTGTCCTTACGCCACAGCGCTGAGACTGCAGCTCATGCCTGCACAAAGGTCATTGCTTCACCCCAACCACACGCAGCAAACGGGACGCTCTGGGGTGGGGGGGGATCAGTCCCTGCGTGTGTGCATGGCTGCACCTCCCCACATTGCTGCCACGGGGCACTGGTAGAGATGGGGACGCTGCTATGGACAGCCCTGGGTGTGGGGTCTGTGCCCCAACCCCCCCATGGAGCAGGAAATGCCGGGCTGGGGAGGGACGCGGAACAAAAAATAAATAAACCCGAACAAAGGTGTTTGTGCAAAATGAAAGACAAACACTGGGCGCAAAGGCACGGAGGGGTGCAAGAACCTGCAGACCCCCAGCAACCCTGCACCCATCCCTACGGGGCTGGGAACGGGCAGGTGGGAAGGAGACAGGGCACAGCTGTGTGTCACGCACAGCAGGTCCTATGGCACAGAGTTAATCATTGACGAGACCGAAACCAAGCGGTGCCTGCAGCCGGAGCGGGGCAGACAGAGGGACGGGCTCAGCACTGCTGGCCCCAGGCCCATCTGATCCAACCCTGTTTGCCTTTAGGCCCAGAGAAAAAGGAAAAAAAAAAGAAAGGGGTGGTGGGGAGGGAGCGCAGCCCCACGGCTGGGGGCGATAACAGCAGCAGCGGCTCCTGGTGCGGCGCTGCCGAGAGCAAACAAGGCGGTTTGTGGCAGGAGGAGCTCCTGGCATGGGCACAGCCGGGGGGCACGCGTGTCCCCGACTCCAGACCTGCCCAGGGTAGGAGGAGGAACGTCCCCATTGCCTCCCCTGCTCTCACCCATTCCTCCACGTTGGGCCCCTCCTGCACCACGGGCGCACGGTCCCAGTAGATGTTGGCTTTGCCGTAGCGCCAGATCTTGCTGCGCGTCTTCTGGGCGAAGAAGCAGATGAGGCAGAGCAGCACGACGATGAGGAACCCACAGACAGCAGCCACGGCCTGTAGGGGAAGGAGGGGGCAGCTGAGGGGGTCTGCAGTCACCAGACCCCTGTGTGGGGCCGAATGGGGCAGCTCCCCCCCCCCCTGCAGATACCCACGGGTCAGACAGGCAGTGGCACTGCAACACAGAGCCGCTCTGTGATTCGTAGGGCAGTGGGCTGGGTTTTCTCAAGAGGACAGGATGGGTGCAGGTGGAGGGGGCACCCCAACACTGCGCCTCCGTGCAGCAACTGGGGCTGAGGGGGGACCCCTGAGTGCGGAGCTCTATGGGCGCTGAGCACAGCACAGCCCCGTGTTGTCGTCCCCCCCCTCCACGGTGCAGCGCTGCGCTCAGGGTGCAGGAATGCAGCACAGCCAGCCCTGCTGCCATGAACCGGCAGCACCGGTCCCACCCCAGCACTGTGCAGGAACCTCACAGCGGCCCCAGCCGAAACCGGGGCCGTGCAGAACCCGCTGCCTTCTGCCCCACTGACCCCACCAGCACGGCACGGCCCCACTTCCCCTCCCTGACTGCTTGTTCAAATGCTTTTACGAGCTTGGAGACCAAAGTACCGGGGAGCAGCTCTGTGCTGGGGCACAGCCCGTCCCCTCCCCGAAACTCCTCCGCTCTAATGGCCACACGGTGCCATCTCCCCCCCCTTCCACCCAATGCAGCAGCACTACCGATGGGGTCACCGTCCCGATGGCGCTAAGGACGGGGACACCACATCCCACAGCAGCCCAAGGGCAGGACACACGCACCCCAAAGCGCTCCCCCTGCGACCTCACTCTGCATCCAAACCCAGGAGGGACCGGGGGTCCGGCCATCACCAAGGTGGGGGGTTCGCACTCACCTCCTGGGGGTCCACGGTGCAGTAGTGGTAGATGTACTGGTTGAGGTAGCTGGTGCTATAGGCCTGGCTGCACATGGCTAGCAAGGGGCTGTAGTAGTAACTGCTGGACATCTGCGCCTGCGGGTTGACACCTATGATGTAGACGATGGAGGCGATGAGCATGACGAAGGCCAGCACAGCGCTGAGCACCAGGACCAGCAGGTAGAAGCGCCGCGAGCGCATGGCCCTGGATTTGCTGAGCGCCGCCACCAGCAGCCCCAGCTGGGCCAGGAAGCACAGCACGGCCATGGCCATCATGAAGCCGTTGGCCGTGCGCTGGTTCACCGTTCCATAGTAGCTCCCGTAGCCGTAGCTGTAGCTCAGCCCGCTGCCATAGTAGTAGTTGGAGCCGTAGTACCCCCCCAGCCCGGTGCCGTAGGTCCCCCCCAGGCCGTAGTCCCAGGCGAGCGTGGATGCGACGCAGGCGAAGATGGCGATGCACAGCACCAGGATCCCCGCCTGCAGCCCCCGCACCACGCCGGGAGGCGACGTCCACTTGTAGAAGTGCTGCGGGGTGTCCTCCACGTAGTAGGAGCCCGGCGGCGGCGACCCGTAGCCGTAATCACCCGTGGGGGGGCCGTACCCCATCGGGGGGCCGTACCCCATCGGGGGGCCGTAACCCGCAGGGGGGCCGTCGTAGGACTTCTTGCTGAACATGGTGGCCCTGCGGGGAGAAGGACGGAGCGGTGGCACCGCCGGCTCTCCCCCGTCCTCCCGCCTCGTTCACAGGGGACTTTGATCGCCGTCACCTCCGCCCGGCCGTGAGCCCGACGCGTCACCGCCTCTGGTGGGGAAACTGAGGCACGGTTTGGGGCGGGGAGAGCTGTGAGTCAGCGCGGCGCTCGGCCCTGCCCGCCGGACCCGCCGCGCATGGGGTCGCCTCATTAACACCAGAAAAGCGCTCACCCGACGGCAGCGCCGACCCCCCGAGGGCCCCTCCGCCAGCAGAGCTGTTGGGATTAACGAGAATCAGAGCAGCGCCGCGGGGCTGCGCCGAGCAGCGGGGGTTCGCTGTTAGCGCTGCGTGGAGCGGTGCTGCCCCCACCCCGCCCCCCTCCCCAAAATGATTCACCCCCCCCCGTCCCGTGCACTCCGAAGCTCCCTTTAGTTTTGCTTTGCTGCGAGTTCGCTTCCAGAGCGCAGCTGCAGCTGTTTGCAGACAGCGGGACAACAACGCGGGGGGGGCGGCAGGGGAGGGAATGTCATGGGGGGCAGCGGGGGGAGACGCGGCGGCTCCGCGGCCCAAAGTCCCCCCCCCTCCCCTCTGCACAACCCCACAAACACGGCACAACCCCACGCTCTGACCCCCCCCCCCCCCGGCAGGTGCAGCGTGGGAAACTCGAACCCCGCGGGGTAACCTGAGCGGAGGGCGGGCGGAGGAGGAGCGGAGGGGGGTTTGGGGGGAGGAGGAGGGGGGGTCGCGGTGTCTGTGCTCAGCCAGGGGAAGGGGCGCGGTGCCCCCAAACAGCGGCGGTCCCCGTCCCCAGGTGGGTCCGCACCTTACCGCGGCCAAAAGAGCCGTTGCCCCATCACCCTCCCCCTATCCCCAAATCCCCCACAGCTGTGCCGAGGTCCCTCCGCTTCCCGCAGCACCGAACACGGCAGGGGGGCACAGCCCCGTCCCGACCGCAGCACCGTAGGAACGCCGGTACCGGAAAGGGGAAGGAGGGGGGGGGGGGGTCTCTGTGCGTCCCCCCACCCGAGAGCCCCGCGACGCGGAGCCCCTCCAGGGTGCCGACCCCCCGCCCCCCATCCGCACAGCGCTCCGGTACCGGCGGGGATTCCGCGGGGAACGAACGGAGCCCCTCGGAAGGACCCCCGGAAAACTTCCCCCGCCGTTACCGGGACCCGCGCTCCCCCCGCCCGGTTCCGGTATCGGTTCCGGAGCCCCGTACCACCGCGCACTCCGTCACCTGCACGCACCTCCGCCGCTTTGTTCACCTTAAAATGGCAGCCGGGAGCGCTGCGGGACAGGACCGGCCCCGGTTTCCGCCTCCGGGGGGAGCCCCGAGGGCGGCCCCGCCGCCGCCGTCCGCCCCCACCGCGGGGAGGGGGAGCGGGGACTGCGGGCGGGGGTCCGCGTTGTGAGCGGCGTGCAGCGGGAGGTCGGGGTTGGGTTACTTCCTTTTGGGGACCGGGGCTCAGCACCTCCTGGGTGACATCGGGGAACCGGAGCGTCCCCGGGGTGCTGGGTGCCCCCCACCCACTGCTGGTACCCCAGGATGCATTGAATCCCCTCGGAAATATCATCGGATTTTATTATAAACTATTCCGATCCCACTGCGGCTGCATCTGCTGGGTCCGTGGGCTGCAGAGCCACCAGAGACCCCCCAGAAGCCCCACATTTGCACCCTTTGCCCGGGTGGTCGCAGTGCAGCAGCTGGGCAGTGGGTGCCCGTAGTGCCATCGGCCCAGCACTGAGCCCCGCGGTGTCTCCAGGGATTTGGGGGGGGGGTCCCCATCCATCGTTTCCCGCTCAGAAGAGGACGGTGCTGCTGCGGTCGCTGCTGCGGTCGAATTCACGGATCTGTGCCTTAATGTGCGTCAGCTTCTCCTTCAGGTAAAGGCAGCGCTGCTGCTTTGCCACGAAGGCCAAATCCTGGCAGTGGGACACACTGAGCCCCCCCCACACACAGCGCCGGGATCCCACAGCTGCCCCACGGCCACGCAGCACCAGGGAGGGCCCAAGGCGTGCTGATCCGAATGCAAAATCCAACCCAGACCCCTCACCACCCTCAGCCTCTTCTTCCCCAGGAACTCACAGCAGACGTGGGTCCCCCCTTTTCTCATCCCTCGGGGGGAAAAAGGCGCAGCCTGACACCTCCCCCCCCACCCCCCGCACCCCCTCCCCGTCCCTTCACACCCACCGTGCCCGCACGTCGCTGCGGGTGGCACACGGCATCCCCGCACCTCTCCGCCTGCAGCTCCCCCTGCAGCTCTCTGTACTCTGCGTGCTGATCTGCAAACACCGCTCCGTACTGCTGCCTCTGCCGTGCGCTCCGGATTGCTGGGTACCGCCTGGAGGGGCACCACCAGCTCAGCCCACGGGACCCCCCCCCCGAGAACCCCCCCTCTCCCCCCTCCTCCTCTGGCGATGGCCACTTACACCACGTAATCAGGGATGATGTGTGGCTGTGGCACGAGCCCGGGGGGCACAGAGCCAGAACCCCCCCGCTGCTTGCCCTCTTCGGTGGTGGTGACCCCAGCCCTCCGTGGGGGTCTCCCCGCCACCCCCACCTCATCCTCAAAGACGACACGCTTGGTTTGGACCAGCAGAGGCTTCAGGACGCAAACTGGGGGACACGAGGCCCTCACAGGCTGCAGGCTGCCCTCAGGGCTACAGGGAATCACCGCAGCCCCCCGGTGCCACCGGGCCACCTCGTGCCACACTTTGAGAGCCACGGCGCTGCCGGCCAGGTAGAGCAGCGCCGTGAGGAAGAGGAAGAGCAGCGCGGCCGCCTGACCCCCCTCCACCCGGCAGAGCTCGGTGAGGAGGGGGCTGCCAAGCAGCGGGGAGGAGCAGAGCCCACCCAGAGTGACAGTGTGAACGTGGGCCCCCGCCGCCGCCAGGCAGAGCAGGAAGAGCAGCACGTGGAGCCCCGCTTCGGTGGGGGGCCACCAGGTGACCCCCAGGAGGACGCGGTGGTAGCGGGCGGCAACCCCCAGCAGGAGGGCAGTGAGCAGCCAGGCCAGGCCGAGCACCGCCAGCACGAAGGGGGTCAGAGGGACCCCCAGGCCCCCCCCGAGGAGCAGCTCGCTGCCGTAAGCGCTGTGACCCCGCGGGATGTCAACACACACGCAGATGAAGGCCGTCCCCCCGCACAGCAGCTGCAGCCCCCCCAGCACACGCAGCAGTCCTGGCCACGACTTCATGTGGGCACAGCTCTGCCAGAAGGCATCCTGCCCAGCAGCATGGTGCCACGGTCCCTTCTCATTGCTGGCGGGGGTGGGCTCAGCCGTCATCTTCCAGAGGGGGCTGCGGCGATGGGACCCCCGGAGGCGGCCGTGCTGCTGGAAGGGGGAACCAGGATGAGCCCCCAGTAGGGATCCCACTCCCAGCCCTCGTGCCTCAGTTTCCCCTGCAGGGTGTACACAGCCCGGCTGCCAGCTGCTACAGCTCCATCCCCGTCCCACTGACACTCAAGACCCCCACCCAGCCCAGCTCCTGCTGCCCCCCAGCATTACCTGCCCGCTGCATGGCAGGACGTGGCCCCCCAGGAGCGCTGCGGCCGCTACCTGCCGCCGATTGGCACCACGGGTTAAACATTAACAGCTCTGTGCTGCCCAATAGAGGGTGTGGGGTGTGGGGAGAGAGGGCTGTGGGGTGTGGGCTGTAGGCAGGAGCAGCCCCAACACTCCCCCCCCTCCCTGTGTTTGGCTGTGCCAAGCAATGGGGAGCCGTGCAGCTCAGCACCCGGGTTCTGCAAAGACCCCCCCGACCCTTTAAGGGCCCCATCCCATCCCATCCCATCCCATCCCATCCCATCCCATCGCCCCCCTGTCCCACTGCCACGAGCACAGAGTGACATGTCCAGTTCAACCTCCTTTAATGTGTGCCTCAGCCCCCCCCCCCCCCCGGCCTCCCCATACCGAGGGTCCGGCTCAAGGGGGATACGACCCCCGGGGGTCCCAGCACAGGGCCCCATGGAGCAGCTTTGCCCCCGCACCACACAGGGGCTGCTTGAGTATTGCATCCAGGAATCTCACAGCACTTGACAATGGTCAGTATCTTGCCCTTACCCCCCCTCCCCCCCCCCACACCCCCATTTTACAGATGGGGGAAACTGAGGCACAGAGTGGTGACGTGACTTCACCAAGGCTGCGGCGTGGCCGAGCCAGGACCCCCAGACCTCAGCCCCAGGGCTCGGCCCTGCTCTTGCCACGGGGAGGCTGCCACCATCCCACACAGCCCCTGGCCCTCCTGCTCCCCACCACCCTGACCCCATCCTGGACCCCCACCCACCCCACATCTGGGCCACTGCCCCCAGACCCCCCCAAACCTCAGGGCTCCCACTCTGTCCCACCGCCTCTTTCTCCCCTTTGCCAGGACCTCCCCCCCCCCTCCCCCGGCGCTGCTCTTTTGTTCCACCCCCCAAATCTCTCCCTGGGGGCAGGGGAGGGGGGGGGGGGGGGGAAGGGGAGACACGAGACCACCCCAATAGGAACAGGGGGAGGTGGGGGGGGGCTCCAGCCTCACGCCAGCACAGTGAACGCAGGAAGTTTATAGAGGGCTTTACAGAACAAAGCTACTGAAATCAGCCACACGATGGCCAGACATAAGGGACCCCGGCACATCCCTCCCACCCCCGCAACCCCCCCCCCACTGTCACCCACTGTCCGAGGAGCTGTGGGGGGCTGTGGAAGGGGAGCGACGGCGGCGGGCGGGGGTGCAGGGGGCGGTGGCGGGGCAGAGACGGGGGGCCCAGCTCCCCAACAGCTCACGCTGCTGCTGCCCGATGGCTTGGCTGACGAGCGCCGGCAGCGCCAGCAGGCTCAGCCCCAGCGCCTCCAGCTTCCCCTCCAGCGCGCTGATGCGCTTCTCCAGGTCCTCGTTGCGCTCCTGCAGCTCCGAGACCATGTCGTACATGATGTTCTGGGTCTGGAGGTGGATGGCCCAAGGTGGGGAGGGGGGTCAGATAGACGTTGGTTACCCACACGGCCCCGTGCCATGGGTGCCCCCGGGGCTGAGCCCCTCTCCCCGGCAGCGCTCACCTTGGCCAGGTCCACCAGCGTGTTGGCCTGGTCGTTCAGCTTGCGCTGCTCCATCTTCACGCTCCTCAGCCTGTGGGAGAAAGGGGAGTGGGGGTCAGCGTTGCCTCGTGGGGTCCCCCTGGCCCCCAGCATGCAGCCAACGGAGCCCCCCAACCCCGTGCACGGGGGGCTCCGAGATTCCGCAAGACCCTGAGACTCCCAGGGATGTCCCCACGCTGTCACCCCAGCCCCCCTCCCCGTTTTGCAGCACGGCACCATGCACACGGATGGGAACGAGGGAGACAGGCACACTTACTTCTGAGCTCTGCAGGGAGGGGGCAGAACAGAGACAGAACACAACAGCGGGTTTAATACCGACACCGAGAGCGCACGGGGACCACAGCAGCACCCCTATCCCACCCCTATCCCACCCCCAACCCCCCCAAAGCAGGAGGCACCGCGTGAAGCCAGACAGCGGGTGCGTTCAAGGGACCCCCCCCACCATCCCCAGTGCCACCTCCCCAGAATGGCACCCTCCCCGTGGGACGGGGCAGGGGAAAGGCCGGATCCAGCCCAGGGGACAGGAGCACGTGGGGCACAAACAGGGCCCAGAGGCAGGGGACGCTGCGGCCACCAGGCTGGTGGTGGCACGGTGGTGGCACGGCCGAGCGAGCGCCGCGTAGGAAGCAGGTAAAGGTTTGGCACTTACTGATGGATGGCTTGGAGGAACTTACGCTGGTGTTTCCGAACTTTGGCATGGTCGATCTTCTTCACCAGCTTGGTGTGTTTGTAGATGAGCCACGTTTCCCTGAGTACGTTGGCAGCAGCATTTTTCACCTGGAGGGAACAAGAGGCCGTGGATGGAGTGGGGGAAGATGGAGGGGAGACGCACGGGGATGGGGGCCACGGGGGGCCCTTACCCGCTTTGTCAGCTGCGTATCCATCATGAAGTTGTGCACGTGTTTCTCTGCTTTGGTGAGCTCTAGCTTTCTGGCAACCACGGCGACGACCAGAGCCGTGCAGCCGGCCCCCTGCAGCACAGCACGGTGAGGGACCGGCGCCGGCACCAGCACAGCCCACCACCCCCCAGCCCCACGCTCACCATGATGCCGGTGAGCAGACAGACCCCCTTCCCACAGTAGGTGTGCGGCACCATGTCCCCGTAGCCGATGGAGAGGAAGGTGATGGAGATGAGCCACATGGCCCCCAGGAAGTTGCTGGTCACCTCCTGCTTGTCGTGGTACCTGCGCGGGGCCGAGCGCAGCCATCAGCGTGGTGCCACGCAGCGTTCGGTGGCTTCCCCAGGGGGTGGGAAGGGGCCCGAGAAGCACCGGGGATCCAGCTCAGCCCTGGGGCCGGTGCTGTGGGGCCGAGCTGGGCAGCAGGGACATGCAGGAAGCAGCAGGATGACAGAGGCGGGGAAGGGAAGGGCTGACAGCAGCAAGCCGGGGTGAGCTCAAGCGTGCGGCGAGGAATTTAGGATTGCTGCGTCCCTTCGCCCGCCCCCAACCCCGGGTGCAGCCTGCAAAGTTTGGGCTTGGAACCTCAGCCGGCACCGAGGGATGCGGTGGGGTGATGCCATGAGGTGATGCTATGGAGTGACACCACGGGGTGCCATACCCAGGGGCAGATGGCATCGAGATGCACGGAGAGATCAGTCCCCCAAAGTGCCACCAGCGCCAGGGCTGTGCCCCACTGTGATGTCCCGAGTGCTGCAGTGCTCCCCGTTTCCCCTCACTGCTCTCCTTCCCCTTCTTCCCTCCTGTGCTGCACCCCAAGAGCATCCCCAGGGCTCCTCCGATGCCCAATGCGTGTGCACCAAAGAACCGAACCCCCCTGGAGGTGCTCCAGCTCCACGCTGGGGACAGAAGGGACCCGACGTGCCCTTCCCAGCTGCTTTGGCTCTGCTCCCTTCATCACTCTGGGAACAAAACCAGAAACTCTGCCAGGGGTCCTGCAGCACACACAGCCCTGCAGTGGGGCAGAGCGTGAACCCCAGCCAGCCCTGGGCACTGCAGTGGGGGGGGGGGGGCACGGAGAGGGCAGAGAGCAGCTGCTGAGGTTCCAAGTGGAAAAGGGCTCCGAACCCTTTTCAGCCCTGTGGGATCTGTGCTCTGGCCCCAGTGCCCCCTCTCGCAGCCCCCACAACTCGCCAGCTGCAGCTAATCCTAAATTCTGGGTAGCACAAGCCCAGGGTGGGGAGGAGGGGGGGAGAGGGGGGGGGGGGGGGGGAAGGAGGCCGTCCCGTGCAGGACGCGGCTGTCGTTCCTGGGGTGACTCACAGTTTGTCCCTGCGAGCAGCAGAGCGGTCAGAGAGGGAAAACAAGAGCAGTTAATGCACGCTCCCGGGGCGAGCGGCGGCCAGGGAAAGGGGGCGAGCATGGAGGGGGGGGATTTGGGGGGGTTGGGGGGGCGCAGCCGGGCAGCGCGTGCCACGTCCCCACCTCGGGACACCTACTGCTCCCCAACCCCAGGCGCGCAGATGGGTCTCACAGCAACCCCATGGGGACGGCCCCCTCCCCACTGCAAAGCTCCATCCCTCTGACCCCGTGGGTCCTAAAGACCATTTCTCCTCACGGTTTGGCACCACGCATCCCCAGCTGCGCCCCATCCGTGTGGCCCCCCCCCTTCTCCCCCCCTCCATCCCCATTGAGCCCCCCGCCCCGCGCCCACCTCTCGCAGACACGGACGGTCCAGGCGGCGATGATCCAGGAGGAGATGCTGAAGACCAACAGCACGGTGCCGGGGCAGATGGTCATGAGGGTCTTCATGACAAAGCGGGTGTTGAAGTTGATCTTGTTGAGGGCTCCGATGCTGCGCGATGAGGCGTCGGTGAAGAGCTTGCTGTGCAGCAGCATGACGCGCCCGATCAGGTAGAGCCGAAGGAACATGGGGATGGACAGGATGATGTCCACGTCGGCATCGGCCACGGAAGCGGCGTAGGTGAAAGCCAAACGTGCCGTCCAGGTGAACAGATACTGCCCGGGGATGGGATGGATGGCGCAGACCAGCAGCTCCAGAGCGATGAAGAAGATGCGCTCGTAGGTCATGGCGATGCGCCAATCGTCCGCCCCGTTGTCCACCATGAAGAGCTGCAGAGCGGGATGGGGGTCGGAGGGACGGGGGGCAATGGGACCCCACCGTGCTTTCCCCCCCCCCCCCCACCCCCCCAAACACAACCAGACCCCTTCTCACCTGGATCTCCCTGGCGTGGTACATGACGATGAGCCCCAGCAGGATGACGGTGGAGAGGCTGATAAGGCATTTCAGTGCAAACGAGTACGAGGACTCCTGCACAGGGAGCGGGCGGGATGAGCACCGTGGGGCTCATCTCATCGCCCCCCCACTGTCCCACCCCACCCCCCCACCTTGGTGTAGACCCCCCAGGAGAGCTCCGTCTCGGTGACCATCACCACGATGCCGAACATCCCGAAGATGAGCGCGTAGTCGCTGAGCCGTTTGCGCTTCTCGAACAGGGCGCGCCGGTGGCCCAGTTTGTAGCCGATGTTCTGGTTCCGCCGCGGCCCCCCCCCGCCCCTCGGCAGCATCGCCCCTCGCTGGGGGGGCCGGGGGCTGCACCACCACCTCGAGGCCGGGGGCGCGACGGGGCCGCAGCGTTGGGCTCTGGGCCTCTAACGGGGGGGGGCTGCGGGGCGAGGCGCTCGGGACCCCCCCGTTGCGGCGGGGGCCGCTCATGGCTGCGGCGGGCGGGGGGCCGGGCGATGCCGCATG